ACTGAAGGAAGTCAATTTGCTGGAATTCGTCTATAGCACTGCTGTAGTTAGCCTGGATGGCATCCAGGCTAGGCCATATTGTTTATACGGTGGCTGTTCTTGATTGCAGGGTAAGGTTTCGAGTAGACCTTGTCCGCCATCCTTTCACCCCGACGCGCTGTTTCGTACCCGCCGGTGGGCCGCTGTGTCATTCCCGCGGCGCCGGCCGTAATGGCTTACTGTCGCCCCGACTAGCCTCTATCAGGCACCGCGGATCGCTGGAAAAATAGTAGAAATTGGCCGAAATAAAGGGCGCTACCGAGCGGGGGAGTCAATGTACGCACGACGATCTGCAGGGGCCGCAGCGCAGGATCGTGAAAATGGCCTAATAGCATAATCATACTAGTAATAACACCTACATAAGACCTACACGAACCAGCGCCCACCCCAAAATTTCCAGTATGAAATAAAAATACCAAAATTTTATCGATCCTGTCAATAGTAGAAAAATTTGCACTGCTGACAGGAAAATCCTGTCAGCAGTGCAATATTTCTGCTACTGACAGGACGATCCTGTCAGCAGTGCAATATTTTCTGCTATTGACAGGACGATCCTGTCAGCAGTGCAATATTTTCTGCTATTGACAGGATCGTCCTGTCAGCAGTGCAATATTTTCTGCTATTGACAGGATCGTCCTGTCAGCAGTGCAAAATTTTCTGCTATTGACAGGACGATCCTGTCAATAGCCACAGGCAAAAAACAAATTCCGCTTCCTGTAACTATGACCAAAGCGTCACGACAGTGCCGCAAATAGGTTTGTACGGACCAAAGCTTATGAAGCATCCAGCAAGACTTCCATTAGGAATTCAGTGTGGTACATGCTGCAACATTTGAAGAAACTTGCTGACCGCTCCATCTATCTCCCCATAGCACAAGACGACAACTGCTGTTCCACCTGATTTATTGCTGTTTTGATGATGAATAAAAGACTTCTTGCTTGTTAAACTGTGTCACCTCATTCAATTTGTGTCCTAACTTTTGTCGTCTTTTAGTATATTTCTAATCTAGGCATCTTGTTTTTTAGGGACCTTCTTGTTTTTTTTTTCGCCCTCTCGCATTAGATTTAGGGTCTCCAAAGGACGTCATCCATAAAATTTACTTGGTGTGGCCTAATAAGGGATCACCGAAAAGTGGCCACGATAGCCAGACGGACCTTATTCTGTGGTGGTCACTAGTACAGGTTTCAAAAGGTCAGTAGGAGGGGGTTCTGTCCTACTGTTATTGGGACTGACATTTTAGAGCAGCGTCTCTTACTTTATAGGGAAACTTCCAGGATAAATCTAATAGGTCATTAACTCTGTATTTCACTTTCAGTCAGTCATTCAGCCAGTCAGTCAGTCAGTCAGTCAGTCACTCAGTCACTCGCTCGCTCACTCACTCACTCACTCACTCTCACTCACTCACTCACTCACTCACTCACTCACTCACTCACTCACTCACTCACTCACTCACTCACTCACTCACTCACTCACTAAGTCACTCAGTCCCGCAGCAGTAAGTCGGAGTGACAGTGTGTCTGTCCACAAAGCTATGTATTTGTAAGGCATAAATAAGGAACAACCCTGATTGGAATGTTGGGGTCCTGCCAACATACAAATGTGCCCTTGTAACATGACAGGGCCCACATGGGTAAGCAGCAATTACTGGTTTATTGTTCAGTACGCTACCGGCCAACATCGATCACGTGCTATTACTGTACTTTGTATCGAATTCAACTTGAAATAGTGTGTCATAATGTTAAGTTGCATTTCTATGAAAAATGCCTTACCGATAAGTCAGCAGAACGTACTGCACTTGCGCGAAACCGGTAATGTATTGTGTACAGCACTTTGGCAGAACGTCGCATAAAGGTCGTACTCGCGTATATAAGGTACATCTCGACTGTAGTATATAGTAGAGGGGATTCATGTCGGCTAGCTTGAGGAATGTATCATCTGCAACAGGAAAAATTGACAAAAAATCCAGCGACAAAGTGAAAAATAGGGGTTTCGTGGAGGTACAGTACGTCCTGCCGACTTGCTCTCGTGAGGTCAGTCTTCACCAAACGTGATGTATGACGTCATAACCAATATGAAATGAGGACTTCTGATTGGTCGACTGGCTATATGATAATGGCCCGATAGTCAAGGATCGGGGCTTCTTGTATGTGGATAGAAAGTACACAAAGTACACATAAAAAAGAAAAAAAAAACAGATGCACTAAAGAACGTACAAATCGAGAAAGTTCAAAACATAAGAGTTGAAAAAGGTTTATGCTGTGAAACACACTGTGACTAAAGCAATTTCAAATTTCAAACAACATCAAGGAGAATTATCTGCTAAGCTCCAATCGTTATGAAATCCTAGCAGAGGAGATCTCTTTGTTCCTGTTGTTATGAGTAAATTCAGCTATGACGCAAATCTAACAAAGTACGGTTATCAGGACAGCCTGTTATGACAAACAAAAAGGCTTTGTGCAGCAGATCTTTTGGTGGCTACAAATTAGAGTGTTAAATTGGCAACGCAGTATGAAAGTGGCCTGGCAGTATCCAAGACGCCATCTAATGGGGCAAATTGTAACTCGGGTGGCCAATTTAATCGTTCCCTAGTAACCCTCGGAATGAATCTGCTTGGAGAATAGTTCTGGATACGTTAAGAATTTTAACGGCACTGCCTTATGCGGTGATAAAATGTACTGCAGCCACTCAGCTCTGAAATCATAGGAAACAGCAAATGCCTGACACAAGGTTTCACTACTAAAAAATTACAATGATTGAAAATGAATTAATGGTAACAAATATCTGCGAAGCTGACCTGTGTGTTAACGAAAGGATACATTTAGTCAATTCAAGTCTTTATATCATTCAACTTTGACGGGGGGTGCTAATGTCTTCTCATCTTACAAATGGCTAGCTAACATGTCACTTTCCCACATGATAACTCGACCCTCTGTATCCAATTGGTTTTCCATCTGCAACGTGTCTTTACAGAACACGTGGACTGAACCCTCAAGTTCTGCAAGACCAACAAAAGCACTCAGATGAAAGTCGTCGTTTTTGTAGCTTCGACTTACATCTTGTAAGTGTTTCAGCAGGTGCTTGAGTAGGGTAGAGAAATTCATAGCATAGATTTGAATGGACATCATTCTCACTGCTGCTGTGGGATAAGTGTTAGAGAAACTCAAACTTGCTTCCCCTTTGTGTTTCAACATGTAGATTTTGTTTTCTGCCTGGAGAAGATGTAAGTTAGCGTGACATAGGGTGTAGGGGTCCCAGTCAACTAATATGACGGGTTTGCCGTCGTAGCCACCACAAGCCTCAGCGGGAAGCCACTTCTGTACAGCTGCACAGAAGTCGTCGTCTGTGCCCTGTAGAGGCACGACGTCCGGTAAGCAGGTTATGTCCAGTTGAGCCAGCTGTGCAGGGTCATGACGCCACCACAGGTTCGGTCCGCCCTTGTACTCCACGTACGGCTAAAAAAACATTAAACTAAAAGGTAACATTTGCAAAGCAATTACATAATGTTTACCTTATGTTGAATGTTTAGCTTACTTGACCTTTGCTCTGATTATTGTTACTCGAGCAAAGGAGGTAATTGTGCAACCTCCTTGCTATCCATATATGGTATATGATGAACAGTTGTAGTCCCTCCAACTCCGTCCTGCTACATGATGTAATCCCACACCACAAGGTGTCTGTTACATCACCAGTTACCATAGTGACAGGCGTCTGGTCCAGGTCATTCAATTAATTTTTTTTTTGAACAAGAGAAAGAAACTGAGCAAAAACAATATGTTTTCCGTCTGCAAGGGGTAAATATAATCAAAATCGTAAGGATGTTGTATTCTGGTTTTATGGAATTACAATGTAACGTCACAAAAAGTCACCCTGTAGGCCATTACATATCACTCACAATATTTGTCCCATGCTATATTTTCCAAACTGACTTACTTGTACCTCTGTAAGTACCTCTGTAAGTCTATATGTGTATATTATATATGCCGTGCCTTTTTCATATAATGGATTTGGTTTGGCCTATACTTGACAGGTTGAATATGTTCTCCAGAGTGTCCAGTCATGGGTCATGCAGCCCAAATAAAATATTATGCACTCATTGCTGTTCAGTTGAGCAAGTATCCAGACAAATTTCCACTCCCAACAGTTTCATGCTAATAGAACCCCATACAAACCGTATAAATAGAACATTTTAGTACCGACCAGTCAACCTTTGAAACCAGTTACCGCCACTTTCCAGTCCATTTACCTAAAAAAAGGCCATCCACCATATGTTGAAATTTTTTTAACTGTTAAGACAATATGATGTAGACCTACCATGCTGAAAACCTCCCGCATGCCGTATTTTGCCGCGTGCTTTAACGCGATGGGGTGGGTTGTCGTGACCCGTTTATACCTGGCTGTCGGGCGGTTCTGTCGGATCCACTCGTCTTGGTACTGGACTACCTTCCGGATGATGTCCCTGCTTCTCCAGGCCGGGGCAACTCTTCCTGACGTGCTGAAATAGGCCAGGCCTCCTTCCGTGATTGTTGCAATCACCAGTGCTATCTAAGGAAACATCAGAAATGGTAAATGCCCCGCCCCAAAGTATATATGATGAGATAATCAATGGCCAGGTGCGATAACCGCCGAATAAACCACGGCCACTGTATAATGGTAAGGTCCATAAATGGTCGGCTATATTCTAATAAACCGACCACTTCTTTCATTATTCACGACTTATGATGTTACGTCCAAATAACGGATGGGAAATGGAGGCTTCTCATTGATCGACGTCGCCCGGCTATTTGTTAATACACTTTGATATAATAATATTGTACTGTAATAAACATGCACACACACACGTACACATACACAGGGAGGGGGGTTACCTCGACAAATATTCCTCAAGGTAATTAAAACGTCTTAGTCCTTTTCCTGTACTTCGTGACGTTCTGAAGCGTGTACATTCGTTGTAACCATAAAGATCTGAACTTTCAGGGGAATGGAGGTATAAATGCAAAGGCAGAATAATACTAAATTGATGGCAGTTTTTAATAATAAAAACACTCACCACTTGTTTCCCCACCGTCGCAAGGAAAACCCAGGTGTTGGGATCATCAATGAAGGAGTGGAAGAACGCAGGCAGGTAGTCTGTGTCGCCGTAGATGTCGTAGGACATGCGTATTACAGCGTCGTAATCTTCGTGCGAAGCTAGACGAAAGGTCAGATTCTGATCCTGTTTTGCCATTTTCTAAAAGGGGGAGGGGGGCATACCGCACCGGTTGCACTACTACTTGTAGTTTTAATTTGTTTGTCCCGGTGAGACAGCCCTGCCCTGCTGGTGATTAACCTGTTAAAAAACTCTCTGATCTACGTGATCTACTCTCAGTCCAAACCCTAACAGTGGAGAGTGGCACAAGCTCTGGACAGCTCCCTTTTGACGAAATAAAATGCCGTAGAGCCTGTCACTATATGTTGCAGTCTCGTGATCAGTGAACTTTCATACAACCTTGGCGTCCTTGACCTAACGCAGAACAAAGGCTGAGTGATGTCACGTGGGTTTCAGGTCAGGGGTTAAATGTTGCTGTTTGAGTTGTAGAACACCTTTCGTCTGCACTGGAGCGCAAAGTTTACCGATGTCAGAATTGTTTTAAACATCAGCAAAGAACCGATTTAGATGTTCCTATTATATTAACATTGTTATATTTTCATTGCATGAATTCAACTCCGTTCATTACATGATAAGAATTAAACTGGTATCCAATTCAAAGAAATAAACTTGCAGGAATTTTTAACCGAACTTTATGACCAAAGCCCCTTAGACACGTATTTTTCCCTACGTGTGACGTCAGCTCTAGGTCAAAGTTCGTGAGAAGTCGGTATCACCCCCCGTCTCTGTTGAGAAAAGATTAGTATGGCTTCTTTTACTCTAAAAAGTCCCGCCCTATTATGATTATTTATAAGTATGTTTAAGTTTGAAATCGAAACATATGCACACATCCGTCTCGAAATCTAGAAAAAAATTGCCCTGAGAAAGAAATCTAGAAAAAAAATTGCCCTGAGAAAGAAATCTAGACAAAAAATTGCCCTGAGAAAGAAATCTAGACAAAAAATTTCCCTGAGAAAGCAGAAGCAATTCTGAGGTTAGCAGTTACGAATGCGCATGCTCAGTGGTAAAGGTGAATGGCTCCGAGACGTTAACAAAAGACGTTAGATCATGTTTATGCATATTTGATCATGTCCTGATTTTTTGTTTGTTTGCGTCTTAGCGGTGCACACCCCAGTTCTTGCGCGACCGGGGTCCGTGATAGTCCGTTGTAAAAAAAGTGACGGAAGGGTTTTGAGGGTCCAAGTTTGAGGTGACATTTCTCATAAACTGCCACGAAGTGTCATTAAACATTAACATGGCTGAAGAGTGTAAGAAATGGTGTTTTTGGGGTGAAAATTTCTTTTGGCTCCGAACCTTACTTCCGGGTATCCTTGCGCGCCAAGTGTAATCCGCCCGTTTGACCTAGATTTCGCTCTGCGCCTTCGTAGGGGTGCATTTGTAACCCCTCGCGCCGTGGACTGTTTAGAAAATTACAGTACTAGAATTTTCTTTATAATTTACTCGGGTGTAGTCAAGGCTTGGGTCTTTCTGCCAGCATCAGTCATTTCTGCCGGAAAATTTTTTTCTATGGGATTATCCTACGCGAAAATTCGCAATTTTGGGCATTAATTTTGGAGTGAAAAAAATGATTTTTCCGTTGATTTTACCAAACTTAAAAAGGTTGAAGAAACCAAACTCAGCTGGTCTTGTAGCTGAAGAGATATCCTTTCGTCCCATATACAGTTATTCTCATTCCGAATTATTCCACGCCAGACACGGTCGCTAGATTTGAGGGTGTGCAGCTTCCAATCGAGACGCCAAATAAACTGGGGTGTGTCCCCTTAGGGGCCGTTTTTGACCCGTTATGTATTACACGGCAATTGGCCTATATTAATTTTCAACCTCCATATACATTAATAAAATCTCTTTGTTTGCTTCAATATAACCTTCTCGGTATGCAAAATAAAATTAAAAAAAATTCAGACCGCTTTTGGGCCAAATTATTTAGATATTCCCGTAAAACGCTGAGATGTACATGTAGAACAAAATTTTTGAATTAAAGGTTGTCTAAATATATATGTCCGGCGAGGACTTCTTTTGTCAATGGAAACAGCGACGAAGAAAATTAAAAATGAAGCATAGATATTCAATCCATCGGCAATTTTTAACTTTTCGTTTAAATACAATTTTAACAAACACGAATAAATTCAATGAAAATGGACTCAATGAAACATCCATATGATATTGAAATTCACGGAAGTGACAAAATTAGAGGGATTATAACCGTGTTATATGCCAAAAAACAGTTACTCAAGCAACTGGATATGAGTTGCTTGAGTAACTGTTTTTTGGCATATCGTATTACCTGGATGTCTAACCTTCATCGACGTAACCGTGTTATACTTTTGCAATTGATTTATTCAATGATGTTGTAAATTAGCATAACTGGGAATTTTTGATTAAACAAGTTACACAAAATACTACGCTTATTTCGGGACCCTAATAATTCTCTCATTTACATAGCTTCCAAAACTAGCATGGTATTTTTTTCATTAAATATACAAGTTAGGATTCCATGTGTATAATTCATATATTTCAGCGCATGTTCCTCTTTTTATGCTACCATACGTCACATGTTGAAAATTCATATCATTGGACGTAGCTGTGGTTGGTTAAAAATGTAACTGTGAAAATTAGCTCCTGATTAGCACAACTCACATCCCATTATGCTAAGAGAGAATTCATAGGAAAGAAATAAAGATATTCCATGACAACCCCTCCTTTCGTAGTCTCAAAGTTTTTTTTAATCTGCTAGGTGTCCTAAATACCACTTCTTTACGATGTAAAGAACTTTTTCAAAACCATAGCATTAACAGAAATCGATATTTGAAGCGTGTCTACTGCAGTACCATAGCACGTTGCTAGGAGGTCGACTAGCGAATCTGTCCCTCATGTTGTGTGTTGTAGACACCTAACTTCATACAAAATGTCATACCTATTCCTCCACAACTGCTTGAGTTATGCATACACACATAGATTTACACGAACCCCTGTTCCGCGCCCACACAGAGACTCACACGCACACCAACCCCCAGACGTATTATCTTACAAGTACCCCCTCCCCAACACACACGCAAAGACCACCCAAAACATAACATCATTTGAAGGTTTTGTCTATATTGCTCATTCCTCGTCCTTTCTTTGTTCGTTTGGTTTTGTTTCGTTCTTTTTCGCTTCAAGTTCTTTTGCAACTTTGACTCTATTCAGATATATTCTTCGCTCGCGCTGATGTTTGAAAGTTGGCTGTCCATCGATCAGTTCTCTCATGTTTATTCTCTCGGTCACGAGTTTAAATTTGCCGTCCTTTGTTGTATTTTGCAACGGCTCCAAAAGCTGTATAACCTATAAAAGAAAAAAAAAATCAAAGATTTCAGACCTTTTTAAACAGCTCACTTCTGATGCGAATTACTCGCAAATTGTGTAGTATTGCATTTAACTTGTGGTCTGGGGAGTGGGGTGGAAAGTTGCCAAATAGAGAGATAACATGCCAAGGGCGTTGGTCCGCTAGCAGTACAGTTCTGGGGTGCGGCAAACTGCACTGTCTAGCGGACCAACTCCCTCGACATGTTATCTCTCTATTTGGCCAAGTTCTACTTTTTTACAGCCGCCTCTCAAAGCATGAAAGAGGACATTACTAATCTCCAAGCATATTCGGTGGGGCAAGGGGACTTAATGTTGGCCACCTGTTTCCATTTGCCCCTTGCCCCATCGATTCTGCATGGAAATTAGGACATTACTACTTCACTGCTTGGATGTCTTATCTTTCGTACAGATATGAATGGGAGGATCTGAGTAGCGTGATGTGCTAGCCAGGCCAGGTGGACAGGTCAGGTAGGTAGCCTGGGCTGGCAGGCACCCAGTTTTTTCCGTAAACCCGACATCCGAGCACAACAACTCGTCTCCGAGCATTCATGTTCACGTCACAAAAGATCGTAGGTGACTGTTCAAACCTAACATGGTATGGAAAAGTCTGTGGCATTTTGGTACAGGGCAGGGTAGTCGCTCCGTAAGTTGCTATCTTTTGGCCTCGGCTTCTGAATTAGTAACACCTAGCTTTAGTGCACAGTGACCAGTAACAACAAGCTTCAGTGCACAGTGAACCAGTACCACCTAGCTTCAGTGCACCTTGAACCAGTAACACATAGCTTCAGTGCACATTGAACCAGTAACACCTGCTTCAGTGCAAAGTAAACCAGTAACACATAGCTTCAGTGCACGGTGAACCGGTAACATATAGCTTCAGTGCAAAGTGACACCTAGCTTCAGTGCACAGTGAACCAGTAACACCTAGCCTCAGTGCACATTGAACCAGTAACACATAGCTTCAGTACACAGTGAACGGTAACATATAGCTTCAGTGCAAAGTGAACCAGTAACACCTAGCTTCAGTGCACATTGAACCGGTAACATATAGCTTCAGTGCAAAGTGAACCAGTAACACATAGCTTCAGTGCACAGTAAACCAGTAACACCAGTCCTATAGTTGCTTTAGTGCACAGTGAACCAGTAACATCCAACTTCAGTGCACAGTGAACCAGTAACATCTAGCTTCAGTGCACAGTGAACCAGTAACACCTAGCTTCAGTGCATAGTGGACCAGTGACACTTATCCTTAGTGCACAGTTAACCAGTAACACCCACAGTAGCTTCAGTGTACAGTGAACCAGTAACACCTAGCTTCAGGGCACAGTGAACCAATAGCACCTAGCTTCAGTGCACAGTGAACCAGTAACACCAAGCTTCAGTGTACAGTGAACCAGTCACAATTGCCCAGATGGTCATCAAAACGTCGACTCTTGTGTTTCTTGTGTGTGTTTTTCTGTTCTTAAGTGTGTATAAAGAACCTGAATACTTACTTTAGCGTTTAGTACTCGGCAAAACTCGGCGTCCACTTCAAACTGTGAATTCCACCTGGACGCTTCCACTGTAAGGTTGAATGAATTCCACTTCGACGTTTCCACTGTGAGTGTGAGGTTGGTTTCCCCGTCCTTCCATTCAGCACAGTACGTGTTGACGCGCTCGTTAACATCCTTAACCCTTGTCCTGCTGTGCGCAACATATGTTGCGCGGCACATACAGCACCATCTATATAGCACCCTGCATAGGTACAATTTGGGGGTATTTCTCGTGCAACGGATTACACCGCAGAGAAACGCAACGAATGCGGAAGTAACTATGCCACTGCAGGGCAAAAAATCTTGTTTTTTTTAATCTAATCAAGACATGAAAATATTGAAAAATATTGTGCCAGGAATGCCAGCAGGACAAGGGTTAAAATGCTGCACTTCCTCAAAGAAGCCTGGACCCTGTGTGTTTGATGAATAAAAGCATCATTTTTGTTCTCAAGCTAAGTTTATATGAATGCTATCTTTAGGTTTGTATTAATACATTAGGAATGTGCCATCTTGCTGTTTTATTTTTGCACAGTTAGTCATTCTGATACTGACTGACAGAGAGATAGATAAATAGAGAGAGAGAATAATTAGAAACAAATATACAAAAACATTTTAGTATTACAGGAAATGAATATCCGTTGTTTGTATCAACGCAACGCACGAAGTACTCTTACCTGTGCTGCTATCTTCCTCCACAAGGACTTGTTGAACGTGTCGTGCAGTAGATAGTCCACGGCTTTCCAGCGTCGTAGCATCGCAATCTCTTTGTCAGATGGGACGTATTCCTTGAAAGAGTAACTTCGGTTGTTCTTCGTGACGTAAAGTACGTCTTGCAGTTCCCAACACATCAGACGTTTGAGGAGAACGCAAGACTCGTCCAAGTGGTCCAGCAGCATAACGAGGGTGAAGTCGGCTTCTAGTTCATTGACGTATCTGCGAGTTCGCTCCTTGATAAGAAAATGAGTTGAAGATTAGGAAACAAACCTTGAGTTTGAAGCATTCAGTTGTTACCTCCGAATACGGAGGCTTTGTTGCCCATGAGAAAAGGAGATTTTTCTTTAGGTCGTACAAGTGTGTACAATGTACTTGTTCTTGTACTTGTACAATGTGTGCTCGTACAAGCTTGTGTGCCTGTGTTTCTGCGTGGCCCTTAGGTTAGGTTGAAATGGATATGGTTGGATTATGTAGTGTCACAGAGACTTGTTTTGAAATGTAGTTCTACTAAACACGTAACTCCCAATGTTCGATGTCTACTGTACATATTGATCACGGAGTGAGCTAGTCTCGCGAGAACACGAAACTAGGTCAAGACTTGTGTAGGTCAGCCAACATGAACTCAAAGCGGGTCATAGGCTTACTAACGGCCCCATCTTGGACATCATTAAGATCATAGACCAAGAATCATGTAAGGCTTATAGGAGGATCAAGGAAGCAGTCCACATCCGGTTGGAACGTGCCGGGATGAATGAAAAAACATGCAATTTTTATGTTTACTGAAGAAAAAAAATGTATTTTTGCTACGTTTTTTCTTCTTCTTCGTCTTTTCCATACAGTGACCTCTGACCTTGGCCAATAACCTGATTTGTTGACGTCTCTCACCACGGTAACTGGTGACGGGTTATGTGATGTTGCAATTTTATAGTAGAGGGATTTATATCCCTATATGGCCATATATGAATGTATTTGAGTAAGAATCAACAGAGCAGACCACATGCGAAGGTAAACATTATTCAGTTGGTTGCAAATGTTACCTTTCCAAATGTACCGGGATGAATCGCAACGAACTATTTACCCCTACTGGACAAGGAGGTGGGGAAGGCCAGAAGACCTACAGAAGTCTCGACCTAGTCTCGTGTTTAAGATTCAAAACAAGTCACCAGTACTAATTGATGAATTTGTACTCACTGTCAACCTTCCACTCATCATGCAACCGAAGCAATTAGGACAGATAGAGACAACTCAGCCACCCAAAAGAAAACTTAACGGATGTAAATGTACCTTATCTTCCACTCCATCGGTAGGGTAGCCCAAGTCAAAGGCCATGAAGTTCCGACTGGGGTCCCAGGTCACGTTACAGTGGGCAAAGTTAACCTCGGATCGATTCTTGTACCTCCACGGATTCTCCAAGAACGTCTTGAGCGGGTTTTCGGACTTGATCTTCAGAAGTTCTGGGAGGTAGTAATAGTTCATAGCAGACCTCAATTGCTCGCTTGGATCTCGAACGATAGCTGTGTTTGAAATATAAAATTGCACATAAATATAATGTATATAAACTAACATGACATTAGTAACAACATAATGACAACATAATGGTAAATACAATATAAAAATTATCAAATAGGAATTCTCTGTATCATTTCGTTCAATTAGGAATGTTGTGGAGGAAAAAAATATGTCTAAAGATGAATAGTTTTCCAGAGATATAGCCCTCACAGATGCAGACTGAAAGCCTGTACTTCAGAAGTGTTACTACATATCAAAACACATTCTCGCAGAGTTACAAAGAAGCAAACCATGGCAGATCCTTAGTTCAAAGTTAATAAGGTATATCCTGCTCCATTAGTGAAATAATGACAGTGATGTCTTGTTGAATACTTTTCTAATGTTTCAACTTGATATTTGCCAACAATTCTGTGCCCCGATCGGCGTTATCAAAAACATGCAATTTTATTTTTACCGAAGGAAAACATGTTGTTTTTGCTACGTTTCTTCTTTTTTTTTTCAAACAGTGACCTCTGGCCGTGGCCCAGTACCCGATTTGTTCACGTCTCTCACCACGGTAACTGGTGTCGGGTTACATAATGTTGCCATAGAGGGGCGATTTAAACTCTGACCATACATATGAATGTGTTTGAGTAAGAATCAGCAGAGCAGACCATATTCGAAGGTAACCATCTGCGTTTGGTTGCAAATGTTACCTTTCTGGTTGTTCTGGTATTTCTTGTCAGAACAATAGAAAAACCTCCTTACATATGTAGGCAGTGTCGGCTGGGAACTTGGACCGTAGCCAGGTTTTGTTGTACGTAAAGTGGTTCATCAGGGCGTGATGCTGTTCATCAGGGGTGTGGATGTATTCTTCTTCGGTAAGAGAGATGCCCCAAGAGAGGACAACACCCTGGATTGGCAGCATCATCGGTATCTTGCGGCTGATGGCGTATCTTTGAAAAATCGTACAGCTAGTTGAGGCCCCGACTTTGTGCGGTGCGATGAAGACGTATTTCTGCCGTGGCCGGCTGCAGGCTTGCAATGCCTCTTCTGTTTCCTCTCTGTGTTCTTGTTTGGTCTGAGCTGCAATACTAAAGAAGTTCGCTAGTCATTACATTGCTTTTATGTTTCCTGTGCATAAAAGCCTGTGTACTGTACAATCATGCAATAAGATGAAATGTTGTAAATATACACCAGGCATAGAATATTACGTAAGAATGATTAAGAATGTGACAAATTGTACCTAATTCAGGGGGATGCGCTTCTGCTCCCCCTGCTGTTGTACATTTGAAAATGATGAGTAATAAATAAAGTTGAGTAGTATTTTTTAATCTTACCGGTTGCTTTAAGTAACTGTTTTCTTGCATGTCTCACAGCCTTCGTTTACGAAATAATAACAATAACAATCGGATGTTGAAAAAGAAACGCAAAGAATCGTTTAGATCGGTCTCCGAGCTATACCTGTTCTTCATTTTATGAAGTTGCGACGGATGTGTACGAATTGGTGATAGAATGATTGTCACAATGAAGCCGAGCTCCATGAAGAGTAACATAATGGAAAGCGCGATGCCCCAGGATGTTGTCGCTTTTTTCAATATTGAGGGGAACATATTGGCGATCCTAGAACAAGAATGATATAATAAAATTTTATACTATAGATAAATTCAATTTCATCAGAAGGTAATAACCCTTGCTGTGTACAAATAGGTAAGTAAGAGAGAAAGAGAGAGAGGGGGTGAGAGGGAGAGGGGG